AGTACAGTAATATTTAATTGATGTGCTTTCTCAAAAAAAAAAAGTTTGATTTCTTAAATAAGAAAAAATTCAAGATATAGAGCATGAGAGGTGGCATTGATGATAACATGGCTGCTATAGTGCTTGAAAATGAGAAAAAAGTTGAGTTCTGGAAAATTAGCAGTCCTCTGGTTGGAGATGATAGAGAAACCACTGGTAAAACTAGGCATACGTGTCATAATATTTTAAATGGTAAGGCATTCAGCAACATGTATGTATATATATATGTGTGTATATATATATATATAAAATATATTTGACTTTCTTACCCTCCTGGGGGGTATTTTGTGTATTCCTCATTCTCGGGTCCTCTACCATAAGCCTCGGGTTATATAAAAATATTTTGTAATACACAAATATTGTGTATCAAGTTATAAAAATTGTCTCACTTGTAACACATTTATCATGTATCATTGTTATAGAAAATGTTATCTTTAGGACTTACATGTTTGTCTGATTGTCTGATATTTAGCAACATCATGTATTTTTACTCCTCATTAACAAGGTGATATGCAAATAGTCTTGTGTCTTGATTGATCTAAAAATAGATATTTGCTATAGTGATACTTTTTTTTTTTTCCCAGGTACGATCTAAGGTATTTACAGGAGAGGAACAGAACAATCTCACCTGGCAAGAAGAGCATCTAAGAATTCAGAAGTTCAAAAATGACTACAGGTAACATCTCCGTCTTCAGCTTTGTAGGTTTTTTTTTGTGTGTTTTTTTTTTTTTTTTCTCTTTTATTCTCTGTGTGACGTGTCACTGACATACCTTGTTGTAAGGGAAACAAAAAACACTTTGCTGTGGATCCAGTAATAGGACTAATTGCATGCTTATATTACAGCTCAGATATGATCACAGTGTGGATAGATTACAATGAATTGCAGACCCTCCAGGACCCCACAGGATTTGAGCAAATAACATATTTGTTTTAGAAGTGTATGGAAGTAAACCATATGGTCTCACTTAAAAGCGTGTCGCCACGAATTACTGTCATCCTTGGCATTCATAGCTCCAAGGGCCATCTTATTCGAGCAACGTTTTTCAAAACACCTCTTTTCTACACATAAAATAGATTATTTATCCAGCATCTTCGTGTAGTAGAGATGGTTAGTTCTGTCTCTATCTCTTTTTGGATTGGGTCATCTACAAACTTTCTGTTGAATTAAAGGATTCCTTTTGTTTGTGCAACAGTATGTCTTCCTCAGCTAATCCAACAGTGATTACCAAATGCTAAGGACATCTTCACTAACCTCATCAATGAGGGAAATCAATTTGCCCCTTTGAATCAATGTGCACAAGGGCATTTTATCTATTTTTGAGGAACAGAGGTCTATGCCTTGGCTGTTACAGTGCAGTTTGATCTCTTTTTTCTAAAAGGGACACTTCAGACCCCTAATGCACTTTAGCTTGCTCAAATGCTTTAAGTGTGAAGAGTGTGCCCAATTTTTTTTTTCATTTTACAAATGGTAGAGATTTCAACAGAAATTGACAATTGTATAAATTAACTTAGTTACACCCCCTGGCTGTCAATCAGACAACCAGCTCTGATGGTTCCTGGTTTGGTTAGCTCAGTGGAACTAAACTAAAGAGGTAATTGCCCAGAGCACCTGCCTTGCAAATACTTCTCATTGAGCTGCATTGGGAAGTCTGTGATTTGACAGCCACAGAAAGTCTGGGCGGGGTTTGAAGAGGACGGCTTGCAAAAGCTGCAGACAAGAGAACTGCAGCTTATGCAAGCTGTTTTATCTATACCTCCAATTAAAAAAAAAAAAAAAAACCAAAAACACCTAATTAAATAAATGCAAGTTTTCATTGGGAGTACATCTACTAAGTAGTGCTTTAAAAAAAAAAAAAAAAATGTATTTGGGCAGTGGGGTGTCCCTTTAATGTAATAGTGTTAATATATGATACTATGTTCTCTCAATCTGTTTAAAGGGACACTGCAGTGCCAGGAAAACAATCAGTTTTCCGGGCACAGCAAATCCCCTCTCCCTCCCATCCCCCATCCCCGGTTGCTGAAGGGGTGTTAGAACTCTCCAAATGCTTTTCAATGCTTTCCTGTGGGGAATTTAGCGACACTGGAGGTCCTCACAAAGCGTGAGGACGTCCAGCAACGCTCTAGCACAGGAAACCTGTGCTATAGACACGGAAGTGCCCTCTAGTGGCTGTCTAATAGACAGCCACTATAGGAGGAGTTAACCCTGCAAGGTAATTATTGCAGTTTATAAAAAACTACGATAATTAGACTTGCAGGGTTAAGGATAGTGGGAGTTGGCACCCAGACCACTCCAATAGGCAGAAGTGGTCTGGCTGCCTACAGTGTCCCTTTAATTACGATGGGCAATGACCAGAAGTTATCACATAGTATAGAAAACTGTATAGACACAACACTGGGCTGCATTACTACATTTTAGTAAATAAACACCCAAATCGTGTTTTTTTTGATTATATATAGGCAAGACTGTCTTAGTGTGGTGCAATTTTGCATAGCTCCGTTATGAGTATCAGAAATCCAACAAAATACTGTGAATATTTTCATGGATACTTGTTTACAAAGAAAATGTGATCAATTGCTATGTGAACGAGAAGAATAATGCACATCTGACCTCAAGCATATATTCTCTTCTTACAGACAGTACGGTTAAACATGACTCAAGCAATACTTGCTGAAAGTCTACCTCAGCATTTTTAAATTACACATAAGTAGGAAAAGTGTTTAAATTCTTAAATCTACTGTTGTGCAAAACCAGATTTAAAAATAATAAAAAATAAAAATTGGGTTATAAGCAAGTACAGTATGTTGGCAGTGCTTCCAATTTCATGTCTTGTTGCTACTAGTCACACTTACCAGGGGGATTACTAGCCAGGCCTTAAATAATACTCTCCAATGCAAGCCTAGATAGTCCATAGCACACTGGGAGTGATTGTGTACTCACCACAGCTCAATTTTCACTGGGTACTGCTAAAAGAAATGTGACACTTATTTGAAGGCGCTCTGAGCTGGAACTTTTTTTTTGGTTTGTTTGTTTTGTTATCTATCCATTGATACATTTTGGACTTCCACTGCACCATATTGAGTGTTTTTTTTTTTTTTTTTCCTACGTTGACTAGTTGGGAACTAGCAGATCCCCGCTTGGAGTGGAGCACCAGTGTTGGACAGTGTTAAATAATTAGACATGTTCTGCCAAATTACTCAATTTCTTGCATCACAGTGTATAAAATTTAGTTTTCAGTGTTCTGACTAGTTCATGATTTGATTTATGTAAAGGGAAATTTGGCATAGAAACTAAACATATGGACCATGAAACATTCGCTAAATCCTGGGTCCTATCATCATGGACGTTTACGTAACAAATAAAACTTTAACTGTTAAATTGCATGCTCTTTTAACACCAGGTTGCGATTTGTTGGAATGAAGCCCATCAAATATCATTACCCCAGTGCATATCCTGTGGGTTTCCTATTGGTTAATAACAAGTGATTCCTCCTTGAATCTATCGTTCTCTTTAGAAACTGTGCTTCGAACACCCAACAGTTTGAGAGCCCTATTGATTTGTTTGTGGGCCATAGTACATGCTTCAGGTTTATTCCTTCAATGTAACAAATGTACTGTATTGATGACATTTTACTTAGCAATATAACAGCACGATATTAATCTATAAATGAGTTGTGTAAGATCTGGACAATGGAGGCTCCCAATGCATCTAGCGAGGCTTCTATCCATCAGGCATGTTGGTGAAGTGGGTTTTAACAATTCATAAAAAGAAGGGTGCTGAGTACATTTTATTCAGCTACACAAGAGGGATCAATGGCTTTTGTGTGACTTGGTTTTTTTTGGTTTCTGATATTTAGGAATCATTGTTGCAAAGGACAGGGCACTGCTATTGTGTGTTTGAAGGTCGTCAAAGAAAGGCATGGAGGATTTCTAAATGTATAACTCTTAATACCCTTTCTGCTCCTTAGAAGCCGAGAGCTTATAAATGAGTCACATTTTGTATGTCACAAAGCTACAAATGTCAAACAGAGTGGTGAAAATATTGATGAAGTAAATGATGGCATATATACCACTGTGTCTACTATTAATAATTCAGGAAAAAAAATTTGGATGCAGTTTGTTAGGGATAAACATGGATGTCTGGCAAAACACTTTAATGCATTTTAAATGGATAATTGATAATCCAAAAGGGGAAATGTTTTAAATAAATTCACCCATAATAACAAGCCATCCCTCTCCTCTAACATACAGTAATTATGACTAGCTATATTTCTTTTTGTGAGTTACGCAGCCAAGCTAAAAAGTCTTACAGCTGACTTCGGCACTGCAAATGTTTGTGTACTACATATCCCATAATACTTAAACAACCTAGCTTTTTAATTAAATCAAAGACCAGTTGTAAGCAGGTGCAAATTAAGTAATTATTTTATACCAGTTCTTTACTTTCCAGAAATACAGATGTATAGGCACACTTGGGAAATTTGAAAGTTGATCAACAAATGTGATAAATTGGCTAATCTTTTATAATGGTTACATGTAACATTTTTCATTTTATATATTTTTAAACATAACAAGTAATTAAAAATTACATTCGTGCACATCATTTTGTAATAAACACCAACCTCAACAATTATTTAAAGGGAATACGAAGTGGGAGAGGTAATAGAGGAAAAGAAGAAGACTAGTGAGTTGCATACAATTTGTAGTTAAACATTCTTTTGAAAATGTTGTTGCCAACCCATTTTATCAAGAACTATCAATAGACAATGTTTTGTCAACATTCCCTTTGGTACAGAACTGGAAAAAAATAACCAAAAATGGGACCATTGGGATTATTAAAGACTGAACTGGTTCACTATTTTAGAACATCTCAACGTCCTATAATCTGACACTTTCAGACATCATTGCATTGAAGGGTTATAATTAGTGATGTCGCGAACCGTTCGCGAACTTGCCGTTCGCGGCGGACTCCGGTCAGCTGACACATCCCTGCCAATCTCCGGCAGACCCTCCCACCTCCTGGACAGCATCCATGTTGAAGACAGCTTCAACATGGATGCTGTCCAGGAGGTGGGAGGGTCTGCCAGAGATTGGCAGGGATGTGTCAGCTGACCGGAGTTCGCCGCGAACGTTTCGCGACATCACTAGTTATAATGTTATACTGTTGGTACCTTACTCCCTCCAGATTACACAAATTAAATTAATCACATACGAATACATGCTGGAGGGGTGTGTAAAAGGGGATCTTTGTGTCACATGCTGTGGTCATGCCCTAAAATTAGACCTTGTTGGAATTAGCTACATAAATGAATTACAACTGTTGACAATAAATTGATAATTTGACACCGGAGCTTTGTCTCTTCAGTCAAATCCCGATAATATTTACCAGATTATAATAAAATTATACTAGGCCATATTCTAATTTCTGCAGCGACAATTATCACCTGACACTGGAAAGCTATTAAATCATGACACATAAATGAGGTCATACAATACATATTTGAAAATAGACGAACTAGCTTTCCGCTTACCAACACCTAAAACTGACATTTTGAAACAAGTGGGTTTTATGGGAAGAAAACATCAGAATTAATTATCTTATTTCGTAGTTTGTTCCTGACCGGATGATTGCTAATATGTTGGATATATTTGATTGTTAATATGTATATGAAATTCCTTTTCACCAGTTGTGTAATTTAGGAAGAGAGTCGTGGGGGCACATTTTGTTTTTATTTTTTCATTTATAAAATCTTATGTTGCTAAATAAAAGAAGCTTTCAGGAATCACCTGTGTATTGCTGAAAACGATTGGTATGCTCATCACATGCTGTGTACAAAAATATGGCTGCGCGTATCATTATGCTTGCTGCGTAGACAGGTGAGCGGCTACAATGAAACCTCAAATTAAGTGATGATAATAGCTGCCTTTGAACACACAGGCAAATTGACATGACCTCTTTCCCAATCAAAAGGTTACTGGCCTTTCCAGCAGCGAAGAGGTGAATAATGAAACTCTCCATCAACTGCTTTTGCGATGGGTGATCAAAACTTGGTCAAGCATGCCAGCGTCTCCATTATATAGATATTTTCATTTCAATCCCTTTGCTCAATGAGATCTATTAGTTTTGCTGCAATGAACTGTCAAGTAATGCCATTAGCTTCAAAAAAATGCACTAAATGCCAGATTTGTAATAACCATTTTCATCTGCTCTTGCCTCAATGAAACCTATGCTTATTTTTTCTTGTTTTCCTACTAGTGAAATAACAAGAAAGGTAGAGATTTCGGGGGACGGTGGACCATTGGGAATCCATGTTGTGCCTTTTTTTTCTTCACTTAGTGGAAGGTAAGAGTTGGTGATAAATAAAAAAAAAAACTATCTTTTGGTCAACAGAATATGTTTTACGAACATGTCTTCTAAGAATAAAAGTTATCAAATTCTGGGGAGCTTTTGTTTTTGTGTTGTTGTGTTTTTTTCCCCTTCAATATCCCAGGTTCATAATTACAAAATAATTTGCACCGTAGCATAGCTCAATCCACTTATTTCGCTTCTAAGAAGGAATCCATAATCCATAAACGGGACAAATACAGCTTTATGTTTCCGTTAAATGGCGTGCTTGTGCAATAAAACCATGGACATCTTCTTAATGGAACACTGTAGGCACCAAACCAAATTTAGATTAATATAGCAGTTTTGGTGTATAGATCAGTCTTACTGCTCAATTATCTGCCATTTTGGAGTTAAATCACTTTGTATACACAGCTCTAGTCATGCCTCCTTGCATGTGACTTACATAGTCTTCCAAAACACATCTAATGTTTATACTTCCTTTATTGCACATTCTGTTTAATTTAGAATTGCTTATCTCTTGCTCTGTTAACAGCCTTCTAGACCCTGCAGGAGGCTTCTGTGTGTAATGTAAGTTTCATTTACAGAGCAGGAGATAAAAACTTTTAAAACAAGTTAATATTTCATTGAAAATGAAACCATTTTTTTCATGCAGGCTGTGTCAGTCACGGACTGGCAATGTGTGGCTAGGGCTGCATAAACAGAAACAAAAGTGATTTTAACTCTTAAATTGCAGAGAATTGAGAAGTGAAACTTTAGAGGCATAATCTATACCAGTGGTAGTCAATCTTTTTCTACCTACCGCCCACTAATGCATCTTTCTTGATGGAAAAATTTCCTTACTGCCCACCAGTTTTCGCGCAAATGCAGAATATTTTTTAGAAAGGAGGGTGTTTTAAAAAAAATAAATAAATGTACGTACATTTATCTTTTTATTTCTACTTAATGCACGTTTATAATGTTTTTAACTTTAAAAAGTTTAATGAGTAAACAATAAAGTAAATTGAAATTACCTTTACTAGTGATTCATGAGATCCTTGAGGTTGATGCTGCAAGACTAAATATTTGATATCTGGTTCGATTTTCGCAAGGAACAAAGAAAAAAGTCTCCTCTTTCGGTGATATTCAGACGACTTCTCTGTTTGCGCATAATATGATTTCTCATCTGTGCGTCAGCTCCTCAATTCCCCTCCCCAGTTTTTTTTTTTCCTTTTTTTCTATTTTTTAACCTTACTTATAGCAATGCCCAGTAGGAAGGCTGAGCTAGGTAGCCCACTTACTATTACTTACTATAGCCCACTATAACAGACAGGCACACATACATACAGACACACACACAATACACACATACAGACACACACACAAGACACAGACACATACACACACATACAAACAGACATGCACATACACACACACAAGATACATACAAACAGACAGGCACACGCACAGACATGCACACATACACACACATAAGACATACATACAAAGACACACAGACAGACACAAGACACATACATTCAAAGACAAGGCACACATACACACAAGACATACAGACAGATACATACACATACATAGACACATACATAAGACACACATACATACAAATACACACACACATACAGACAGACACACACAAGACATACATACAAAGACACACACACACAAACACAACATATTTTAGTCACCCTTCTGTTTCCTACCTTTTAGGTGCAGGAGGGTGACTTTCCCTGGGGTCCAGTGGTGGCTCAGGTGAATGGGAGTCAGAGTTCCCACTCTGACTCCCTCTGCTTCCTCCCACGCGGTCTGTGTTAGCTGGGAGGAGTGACATGCAGTCACTTCCTCCCAGCGTTTGATGTAATCAGAGGGGGCCTGGTCGCGCTGTTAAAGCGCCCAGCGCTGACAAGGCCCCCTTACAATCCACATCCAATGGGTGGCCCTGACAGCATGCGCCACCCGATGGACCCCTTGGACGGCGGCCCTGGCAGTTTGCCACGCTGGACGGGGCCTCAAATGGTGATGGCGGTACACGGTTGCAGGGGTACTGCCGGCTCGCTCCCGCCCACCCAATCTCTGAAATTGACAAAATCCCTACCGCCCACCTGGAATCCTGAAACGCCCACTAGTGGGCGGTAGGGACCAGGTTGACGACCCATGATCTATACACTAAAACTGCTTCTTAAAGCTAAAGTTAGTGACTCTATCCCTTTAAGAAGGTCCTAGAAATAAGACTTAGCAACTTGCCCTCTTTAGTTGGGATGGTCCCCACCCCATGGGGTGCAAAGTCTTCTCTTCCCATGTAATGTATTTTGGGTGTGTACCAGAGATTCTACAGTTTTGGACAGTCCCTGCAAATAACCAATTCCTTGGATGATAAAAAGTAACACTCTAAGCCTCCAAGGTACCTATTGGGTTTAGAAATGCAGAGCAATATCCTTTAACAAAAAGAGTACTTTAATTTAAATAAACAATCTGTCTACTGAGAAAATACATTCCTTTATTGTTCATCTCTAATAGTTGTCTCTCCCATTTCCTGCAGTATGATCCACACTAGACAGTGTTGGCAAACTGTTTTTACTTGCCTGGCCGTATGCAGTTTAATCTTTATTTTTCCCATTCTTAATTAACCTTTGCCAGCATGATTCCAAGGGTAAATATTTTTAAGCTATGCAGCCTAATGAAGAGTTTTCTTTGTGAAGGCAAGAGGCCTTCATCTGTAAGTGACTTAATATTGTCTTACGGGCTCACTGATCCATACATATACTTATGTCGTTCTAGTGGAGGTGGTGGGCAGACCTCAAATGTCTGGAAATACTGACTAAAATGTCACAAGTACAAAGTAACCATTCGACTGCATAAAATTATATCAATGCCAGCAAACGCCAAGCAACATTTTATCCATTTGCGAAAAGGTTAGATCAGCATTCTAGTGGTTGTGTAGTTTAATCACTCTGAGAGCCTTAATCACTGAAATTAACCTATACCCTGCCAAATTTAACAGCCTTATTTGTAAATCTCATCACGTGAGCTTAAATAAAAATAAATGTTGTGATCTGACATCGTCTTAAAAGCATTTTGCATTTTCCCAGGCATAAACCTATTTCATTCCTGTGTTTGCAATGATACAAAGCAAGACTATATATTGGTTTTAAAAAATAATAATAAAAAATAAATGAAACACTGAGAAAAGATTTAAGAGGTTTTAAAAAAATGTTTGGAGTTTATTCACACCAGGATTGGTGGATAATTCAAGAAATTTGCACATTCTAGGTCACTATCAAAGTTAACAATTTCTCCGGTTCATGCATTTTTCCAGGTTGACTTCAGTGACATAAATCATGCAATGTCTTTGTAACTTTTCTGCCATTTCTAGTTTAGTGAAAGAAAAAAAATCAAAGCCCTTACACCCTTACTTCCTGTGTTTGCATAACGTATGCAATGACAGTCTTCATCTGTTTATACCAGTATATTACACTGGCGTATAGCTGCAATAAGGAGGTATAAGGACCGCTATGACATTTTGAATTAGGATCATCCGTTCCTAGTAATGATTTGGGGGTACTCATTTTCTAACTGCATAATCTTTTCTTTCTTTTCTGTTTAGGCCGTTAGGTTTATATATTCGGGGAATTGAGGAGAGCAGCCGTTCTAAGCGGGATGGCCTGTTTCAAGAGAATGAATGCATTGTAAAAATTAACAATGTCGAACTTATGGACAGATCCTTCACTCAGTAAGTACTATAACAAGGAACATGTACCTTGGCACAGTGGATC